AAAGGATTATTTCTTGGCTCGAATATGTTGTAAATCACTCACCATTCGTATGTCCAGGCGTTGATCGTATTTCTAATTGCTGTTTTCCAAAATTTATTACATCGCCGTCTTTAACATAGTGATCAGCTTTTCCACCTGAGCTAACAGCCAAGACGGATTTCATTGCAGGAAAGGCCAAAAAGACGGCGAACATAGTATGCATAAACTTTTGTTTCAACGTAGAAGAGCTGTTCACTTACTGTTTTGAGCACTCCCGTACCAGTAACATGATCTGCATGAACATGTGTGTTCAGCCCATATATTAAATCCAGGTCTAGATCTCGAATAATCTGGAAACGAAGGGATGATTGCAAGCACAAAAGCAATTTTTGTTGATGATCTTGAAATGTCTAGTAAAAGAATCAGAAACAGGATCCACTATTTTGTTATACTCGCCGATTTCCCAAACTCGAAAGCGATTATATTGAAACCAGAAACAGGCGATCTTGCATCAAAGTGCTCTTTTGCAGGAAAATGGTTATTTTCTATGATCACTTGAAAGTAAGCAAGAAACTAAGAGAAACTGTGCAAATCCTTTAACTTGTAGTATTTAAAGCATCTGATTTCAAGTAGTCAAAAGGGTTCTCTAGTTAATTGAGACTTGATTATAGCTATAAAAATGGTTAGAGCAGACATATTTAATTTAATTAAAAATTTAATTGTTCATAAAGGCAGAAAGGATGTGGTGTTGTATTCTTAAAGTAGATGATCTATGCAATTTTATTTTCTTAATCCCTACTTTTCAACTCGTGATCCTACGCAGAGAAATCATCAACACGGAAAAGCGCCGTTACCGTGCCTGTGCTCTTTTGCAGTATGCCATCAAGGATAGTGTCAATGTCAAAGTTTAGGAGTCCTATGTACATAATTCATGTCTAGGCATCCAGAAACACGTGCATCCAAACAGCTGTTGCCAATAAAAGATACTTGAAGCTTGCGTACTCCTGCTCAAAGCAAGCAATCTTCGTGAACTTTTCTTTTTAAACTTGGAGTTAGCATATGAAGATGGAAGTGTTTAAACTGGTAAGATTCGAATTTATGCAACACTCTCAATACATTTACGAGCCCACCTTCCTTAGTGGTCAGAATTTCAGTTCTTTACTTATTTGATAAATCTAAGAAGAATTTAACACGTTTGAAAGCCGAAAAAGGTAGATCGAAAAAAGAAATTTATCCTGCTCTTCACTCCACTCTTGATTTTCTTCACTTCTACCATCACTCTCCTTTTTACTCTTTATTCTTCTCAACTGTAAGTCTCTAAATATATAGATAACACATGTTTGATGATGTCCGTTCAAAAGAGGAGAAGACACCGGAACGTTGAAATTTTACTGAGTTTGATTCCATTTTATGAGGAAAACCGCACTACCGTAATTTTCCAAATTTTATTTTTGAGGTTTCAATCAGATGCGATGAGTTTAAGATAAGTTTCTAGATGTTTAATATATTGGAAGATAATAAAAGAGTTACATAATCACCTCAGCATCTCTGTGAGCAGTTTCAAGGACTGGATCAATAATCACAGCTTTCCTAGTAGCAGCGCAGCCCAGAATATAGGTGTATGTTGAGGACGCAAATTCGACCAGCTGGAAATCTAGTTAGTTGTAAAAATTGGCTTATATTATCTTAGTTCTAAGTGCAATCGCTATGGGTGAAAAAGATTTTTGGAGTTGAGAAAACTCAAAACTTTTCTTAAAGACACAAACCTGTCGAAAAATCAAAGCGTTCTTTGACATTCTAGAGACTTCTTCTTTTCCTACCTGAAATATCGTAACTCACATCATAACAACAGAGGCAAGTATAGAGGGGCAAACAAAGAAGGTTTTTTGTCAAATAAGGAGTGCTCTTAGACGCTTGGTGATTGACATTTGATGACAAAAGATCACACATCAGATTGCATCGGTATTTTCACTTGAAAAGATGTAAATTAGAAAATCACTGAAACCACATTATCCTTTTTTGTAATTTTCGTTCTGAGATCGTTAATTTATCAGCTGTTATTAGAGAGTGGAAAAATTTTCTATTTAGTAGAGTAACGAATGTCCTGTTGAAGTCTAATATGATACAAAGCAATGTATAGGTAATCTGACGGAGTTGCGTAAAAAAAGTATGTAAAGTATATGAGTACTTCAAAACTTACATAAGTTAAAAGAAAACTTAAATGAAGAAGCCTAAAGTGAGTT